CAGTGGTGACCTCTGCATCCCCCCAGTCCCGGAAGCCGTGTGACACACCGGCGCAGTGGACTTATGACCTAACCCACTGGCCAGTTTCAGGTACATAACGCTTGGGTGGCTGCCTTACCCTACCGGAGCCCGCTGGCTGGGAGGAGGGGGGCGATGGGCACTGTTCCGGGGTCTGCACCGCTGGGACAGCGTCCCCGTTGGCTACGTCTGGAGGGTTCTCGGCCGACATGAAGTCGCGACAAGGTATCGGCTGGGCGGTGCCGGGTTTTGTGCCTTGGGGCTTGGGTGGTGTGTGTGACTGATCTGGCAGGGGTCCCGCTGACCCCGGGTTGGTGGGACCTTTTTTCGTGTGTCTCGTCGTTGGACGCAGGCAGGGTCGCAGCGCTCTCTGGGTGAGTGCGAGGGGTGGCTGGGGTGAAGGCGCGGAGAAAGCGCCGGTTGCGCAGGGTGAGGCGGCCAGACCCATCGACCCTGACACGGGATTGGTCGTTTCCTAGTGACTCTACTACCACCGCAGATCTGTCCCATGCCCGCGGGCTACAGCCAACTAGGTTCTGGAGGAACACCGCCTCCCCGACTATGAGAGGGCGGAGCGATCGTACATGTTCTCTCAGAGACTCAGTGGTATAGGCCATCTGAGTCCGGAGGGCCTCTTCCTTCGCCACCCGTACCTGACGCCAGAGCGGACGGATGTGAGGGTTGGAGAACTTCTCCAGCCTATTAACAAATGACAGCGAGTCCCTGAGGGGGCGACCAAAGATGATTTGCGCGGGCAACAGGTCGCAGTTGGGGTCAGGCGTATTACGCAGATGCAACATCGCACGCAGAAAGCGCAGAAATCTCCTGTGCAAGGAGTGGCCATGCAATGGCAGCAGACTCCAGTGCATTGCTGCAAATGGACGCCATATGCACCGATTCCTCGCTATCGGTCACATTCCATGTGCCCGTGCAGCGGCCCTCATCAGAGCCAGAGGGCGAGGGATACCTGGAGGCTGTGTTGGCAGCGCAGTTGCTCTTGCCAGGCAAGTGTACAATATCAAAGCGCCATGGGAGTGTGCGCTGTTTGAGCCTGAACAGTTGAGCCTGAGTGTTAGTTATCTCATCTAATGTCCGGTCCCCAAGGATCTTCACCAGGGGCTTATGGTCGGTGACCACGACCAGGTTGTCGCACCCCTGCATGAAGTATCTGGTCTGCTCCAGACCCCATGCTACAGCCAAGGCCTCCCCCTCAATAGCGGCGTATCGCTGCTCAGCGGAGGAGAGAAAGCGTGGGCCGGCCAGAGTAATTTTCCATCCATCCGGACAGCAGCCAGGGACACCGAAGCTGCAGGTGCAGTGCTGCTGGAGGAGGAAGTATCCATTGCCGCGCCTGGACCCGTCTGGGCGGAGACAAGTGCGCCTCTCTATGTCGTAGATCTCTACGCCTGCCCGGATAGTGTCCACGATGGCCAGCTTGGATGCCTGAAATGCTGCCTCTAACTCGGGTGACCACTCAAATTTGCATTGAGGGCTCAGAAAGGGCTTAAATGGTGCCATAATATCACGCAGCTGCGTGTAGTTGGCCACCTGATTGACCAGACCAAACCAGCTCCTGATGTCCATGGTCGAGGTAGGGGTGGGGAAGTCCCTGATGGCTGTCAGGTACTTTGGGAGGGGCTCGATTGTAGCATCAGAGACCCTGAAACCAGCAAAATCAACTTCCCTCTCAGCAAATTGAAACTTTGATGGGTTCAACACGAAGCCGGATCGGCCAACGTGCGTCAGGAAATTGATTGTTCTCCACCAATGAGTGTTAAGGTCGGTGTCATAGTGGATGGTGTCATGCATGCTCCTTTCCTTCCATTCAAAGTCAGAGAGGATCACATCAAAGCGGCGATTGTAGCCATCACCAGAAGACAGAAAACCTGTGGGGCCCTGGTGTAACGCCAGCGGCCGAAGGGAGTGATGACGGTAGTGAGATGACAGTCTGACTCGCGCAGGGGCACGCTGTGATACCCATCCCAGGCGTCAGTGACAGTCTTCCAGGTCCCTTTCAGGATCCGGTGCGCCAGGTGGAATGGGGACTCGGTTGCAAAAGTCTCACGTTTGCAGAATTTGTTAAGAGGTGAGATATCGACAGTCTTGCGGAGGGTTTCGTCGTGCTTCTGGGTGACCACCATCCGGTGGCACCAGGTCACTGGTTCGCCATACGGGACACGTTCGATGATGCCCAGGGACTCGTCCCGAAGTAGGTCGTCATGCACCCTCTGTTGCCAATGCAACGGCAAGGCCGCCGCGGTGTGGCACGTCTTTGGCGTTGCCACCGGGTCAACGTGTATTTATATGGGTGGACCTTCCATGCATGGTAGTGGCTGATGGGGGCAAGTGTTGAATGTTGAGGATGCGTACCTGTCAAGCAGCCATGCCTTCATCCGGTGATTATTCTCTGGGGAGCATGGGAACGGCAGCTCCGCGGGGCGCGGAGGCGGGGTGCTGCGTTGAGGACATGAGCAACAAGCCACATGTTGGGAAGCCATGCCTCCGTCGCAGACTTCTCCCAGGCATGAGACTTTGGTGAGCCCACCGCAACGGCTGGCGGCTTCAAGGTCACGGCCCACTGCCGAGTTGCCCTCACCCGTGCAGGATGGAAACCCGCTAGGCAGAAGGCCGAGGCTGAGCAGGGAGTCATACAAGAGGTACATCGCGTGAACTGACCTGCTAACATATATCTTTGCGCGGCAGAACACCACCTCACCACCAGGGGCAGCAGTGAATAGTTTGGCAAAGAAGGTGCCCTCGATGTCAATGGGGAGCTGTTTGCCGCTGACAGGTTTAGGACCACCAGGTGGAGGGCGCTGCACGCGAGACCACACGCCAGAAACTCCTCCAGGGACCACAGGTCCAACTGAGCCCCCGTGTCTGCAATGGCGGACACGGTGGCCTCTGCAGCCGGGCATCTGGCACCAGCTCCACTAGTGAACCTCACCTTATCATCAATCTGGATGGAGATGGGATCTCGGGGGTGGTCCCTGAGCTTTGCGCGCCGTCATTCGCCCTTGGAGAAGATGTGATGGCTGAGCCTGATCGGGGTGGGCCCATCACTGCAGCTATGCGTCCCCAAGGTGCAGGGTCAGTGCCTGTCTCTGCGGCGTCCATTAGGGCAGATGCCCGACGTGATGGATGAGACCTGCGATATCACGTCACAGCCTACAGCAGCCTGTTGTCCGTCCATGTGTGGCTGGTGCCGTGCCCGTCTCTTCCGGGCCCGGAAGCAGTCGGCACACATTCCATGAGGCTTGGTGTTCCAACCCCGAGATCCCTCCGAAAAAACACAGAAAGACACTCTACAATCAGGGCATATAGCCCTAGCAGACCTGTCTGGTGGGGCCGGAGAGGAAGCAGGCCCTGACGGTGGCATAGCTTGTCTGCGCCTGAACGAGGACATAGCTGACAGGCTGGAGGAGGGGAGGGCATTGCGAGCCATTTCTCTGTTCTCCACCAGTGCTATAATATTATTCACAGACTTACACAGAACATCATGAGTCCCCAACATGTCCCTTCGTATATCAGAGTCATTAATCCCATTAGTCAGTACATCACGAATAATATGATCAGAATAGTCAACTGACTGCCCGCATCCGCACACAGCGTTGTAGGCGCAGGATTCTGCCTTGCCACGCACCCTGGCGGCAAATGCACGAAAGGGCTCGTCATGGTCCTGGCGTAGTTGAAGCAGTTCAGATCTCAGAACGCATGTGGCAACCGGTATCATCGCCAGAGAGCGCATGGCAGCCAGCAGAGTCTCAACCGGTCCAGTTGCAGCATCCGGGTTAGCCTTTAGCAAACTGTCCCCAAGTTCCGGGCCGGCACACTGAAACAGCTGGAAGGGGCCTGGGCATCACCTATGCCCGAGCCAGCGCGGAAGAGGTCCCAGCAGCGTGTAAAGGCGTTCCATTCCTCGACGGACATGCTGACATTCACTCTCGGTCGATCCAGCGCAGGGCCAGGCAGGCCCAGGGCCCGAACGGGCGCAGCGGGTTCGTTCCAGCTCTGATGGGCCAGGCCATGGTTTGCCAGCAGTGCCACGGCGAGAGCCTCGGACACGTCATCGGTGGCGAACGTGCAGGCTGGAACGGAGCATCTGATGACCACCATGGCTCCTTCATGAAGAAATACACTCCTCGATGTCAAATGGTTTTATTGACAAGGATGAAGGAGCCCTGCGGCGACATACAAAGCTGAGTGAGCAGAAGCTAACAGCAGCGTGAAGCAGCAGCATGGACTGAAGACCAAAGCTAAGCAATGTGATAAAATAGGTAAATAAATGCAGCGCGGCTTAGCATGCATACTGACAATGTGACCATTACATTATCTTAACAAGCAGGTGAAGACTTACAGATACAAGTCGAACAGTAGCATGGATAGACAGCAGTGTGATGGTTGAGCAGCAGCAATCCAAATGAGAAGCAGCAGTATGTACAGTGAGGGATAGTCACATGTATGTGACTTCAGGCACGTCCCTGCAGGGGATAGTCACCTGTACGTGACTTCAGGCACATCCTTGAATACACCTTTTTCCCTTGAGGCTTGATCGCAGCACACCCTAGTGGCCAGTGGTGACCTCTGCACCTACCTGGTTACTCCACATACGTATTTCATGAGCATTTTTTAACTCAGAAGTACCCCTGAAGGACTTAGTTGTTCGTTCTTTTATCAAAACTTATTTTCGGCCTGAGAGGGTTAAAGTGACAATGAGTATTTTCCCTTGCGACCGGGGGCAGTACATACCTAAAGCATTGCAAGCAAGCAGTATTTTTCTGTTCAAGTAATGTTGCAAGCTCTCGCATGCCAAAAACAATAGAGGTAATATACGAAGTCATAAGGAGCGCAAAGATAAGCTCGGGCCCGCTCGTGCGAGTGGAATCAGGCAGGTGATAAGGAGGAGTGGTCCAACTGAACAGGAAGCAGCAAAGGAGGTGGGGCAGAAGAAGGCCAACTGAAGAGACATCTCAGGATGTGCGGAAGCTTTGGACTTTGGGTGGAGCTGAAACCAGCTTACAAATAGAACGATCATATGGGTTTGGCTGTCTTGTGTTTGACTAAGATGTGTAACTGACAAATAATCACATTGTTTTGCTGTCTTGTGATAAAAAGATGTATGTAACTGGCAATTGATTACATTGTTTAGGCTGTCTCATGACTGGTTGAGATATTGCTTCACTATGGAAAATGTTTTGCTTGGCAGTTTTTTAGAATGATATATAAAGGGCAGTTAGAAGTCGATACAGAGAGAGTTAGTGTGTGACAGTTAGTGTTGACACAAGTCGACGAGGTAGCACCAACAGGTGCAGGAAGAGAGAGCAGTTATTCTCAGGAAGATTTTCAGAAGCAGCATCCTCCTAAGAGGATTTTTTAAACTTAGATTTACTCTTTTTTGTATTTTTTAATCTTGAAATAAACTTTTTGGAAAAAGAATCCTCATTCTCGATTCTCAAAGGTCTCTTTTAGCCTTTGAGTGGGAGCCCCGACCAGATCTAAAGGAGAGGTAAGCCACCTTAAACCGCTTGTTCCTGTGCTTCAGGACTTGTTTTCAGGCTACACGTGAAAAGAGAGTTACAGTAGTCTAAGCGTGAGAAGATGAAGGTGTGGATAACTGTCTCAAGTTCAGAGCGGGACAGAATGGGACTCAGCTTAGCAATGTTCCTGAGATGGAAGAAGGAAGAGCGAACAAGAGAACTGACATGAGAATCCAGAGTGAGAGCTGGGTCAAAGGTCATGCCAAGATTCCTGACAGAAGGTTTGGTGTGGGAAGCAAGCTGACCAAGAGAGTCTCTGACTTTGGGAACCAGCTTATCTGGGGCACAGATAAGGATCTCAGTCTTATCTTCATTCAGCTGAAGAAAGCTCCCAGCCATCCAGGTTTTGATAGAGTCTAAGCAGGTGTGTAACAGCTGCAGCTTAGACATCTCATGGGGCTTAAAAGAGATGTACAGTTCGATGTCATCTGCATAAAGATGGTAGGAGATTCCTTTGAAGGAGCTCAGGATTTGCTGAAGAGGAAGCAGATAGAGGAGGAAGAGCAGAGGCCCCAGCACAGAACCTTGTGGGACACCATGAGTAAGAAAGGTGGTGGAGGACCTAAACTTGGAGACGGCCACAGAAAAGGAGCGCTCAGAGAGATAAGAGGAGAACCACTCCAGAGCAGATCCTGAAAGGCCTACCCAGTCTCTCAACCTCTTCAGTAGCAGGTGATGGTCAACAGTGTCCAAGGCTGCAGTCAGGTCCAGCAGGACCAGAACAGAACAGTCCCCTGCATCACTGTGAGTCAGAAGGTCATTAGAAACCCTAAGAAGAGCTGTTTCAGTAGAATGAGCTCTACGAATACCTGACTGGAAGCTATCATAGATGTTATGTTCATCAAGAGCAGCTGTGAGTTGTTTAGCCACAACCTTTTCCAAGATCTTGGAGATGAACGGAAGTTTAGAGATGGGTCTGAAGCTGCTATGGAGAGAGGCGTCAAGACTCGTTTTTTTAAGAAACAGGTGGATTACAGCGTTCTTAAAGTAAGCAGGGACCTGACCAGAAACCAGAGAAACATTAATTATGGAGAGCACGCTGGGACCGATGGACTGAAAAGCACTTTTAAACAAAGATGAGGGTAAGATGCCGAGGGGGCATGCAGAGGTCTTCATAGAGTTAACTAGTTTGGTTAACTCAGTCAAAGAAACAGAGCAAAGCTATCTAGGATGATGGGCCTGGTTGGAGTCAGGAGAGGCGGCGATAAGGCTGAAGGAGAGATGCTAGATCCAGACCCGGCGGCAGAGGACTTCACCTGGAGGGGCAGTGGGTTTTTCTGGGGGGGCCCAGTAAACCGTGTTTTTATCAACCCCTTATAATCTGTCTGGTGGACGTTACACACATATACTTCCGGGTCAAATCGGCCGTTTGCGTCACCAACTTGTTCTACATAACTAACTGAAAAGCTAAGATTCTTCATTGTTTAATTCCGATTATGTATGCCAATGAAGATGCAATCAAAACTTAAGACAAAGTAACCAATTTTACTGAACCTCTTAGAAAAATACTTGCAACTCACCGTTCTTAGCTGCGCCTGCGCACCACAGAGTCACCATCCCAAAACAATCCTTACGTCCAGTTAATGTTCTCAATCTCCAATAAAGTACTTAGTCCACAAGTCTTCTTTCAAATCCTGCCCTGCAGCTTGATACCTTAGTAAATTCTTCTTTTTGCACGTATTTCTCATAATGTTTACATCGCAAATACTAGTTAGCATCAGGTTAGCATGCTACTTCTTGGCTGTGTGCTTCTTCTTGGTAAACATTGACTTGGTGTTACTTCCACCAGCTGGTAAGAAGTGTAAACTAGGTCTTCTAAACAAGATTTAGAAAATCTAGAGTGTTTTCTTTCTAAAAAGAGAACAGACAACCCTGTATTTAAGATGGTTCAAAAACAGTTTCAACTTTAATATGCGTTTTAAAACATTTGAATAAAAAGGACAGCAGACACCCCTGAGACTGTGCTGGAGGCACGGAGAGAGGAGGAACAGAAGCGCTTGGAGCTGCAACTTCTGGCTGCAATGGCCTTTTTGATGATGCATCTTCCCTGCTTGTGCTAGCATTGTTTTTTTGTTTGCTAAACTAAGCTCTGATATCCATTTTAGCAAGCTACTGTACCAAAGCCTCTTCTTCTACTGCATCTAAAACTGTCGATTAGTAACCTAGAGCGCCCTCTGTTGATCGTCTTGAGCCAATACATTTGCATGAGGTGTTGTAATCTGTCCTGGGCAGGCCAGATCGGCAAATGGGCGGGCCGGGCCCGACCAGGCCCAGCCTTGACGCCGGGCCTGGCTAGATCTAGCCTTATTGACTTTGTCCACAAAGAAAGACAGAAAGTTCTCACAGTCTGCAACAGAGTGGACGGAGGCTGTAGGAGTGGCAGGAGAGACAATGCTGCTGATGGTGTTAAACTGCACCTTGGGGTTCCCTTTGCTCTGGGACACCAGGTTGGAGAAATAGGAAACCCTGGTGTCTCTGACTGCAGAGTTAAAGGATGACAGAAGATCCTTTAGGTGCAGCAGATGGACGTGGAGATGGGTTTTCTTCCACAAGCGCTCAATTTTTCTGCATTGGCGCTTCAGGCTGCGAAGGCTGTCATTAAACCAGGGAGTAGGATTCACTGCAGGAACTGATCTGGTTCTGACAGGACTGATGTTGTCCAGAATGGAGAGGCAGTGCTCGTTAAACTGAGAAGTTAAGGAATCTGTGTCGTTATCAGAAGAACAGGGTGGATCAAAAGCAGCAGAAAAATTGCTAGCTGTGCACTCATTATGAAAACGAGAACTAACCAGATGGCGAGCAGGAGGTGGGGATGCAGAAACTGACAAGATAAAGAAAATGCAATGGTGATCTGAAATATAAACGTCCTCAGGACAAACACTGTCAGCATTTAGACTCAGGGTAAAAACAAGGTCTAGAGTGTGCCCCCTGGTGTGTGTGGGGCCAGAGACATGCTGGGTAAAGCCGAAGGTGTCCATAAGGCTGGAGAATTTCATGGCAAAGAGATCGGAGGGATGTTAAAGTCACCAACAATCACCAGTCTGGACAGCTTCACAGTGGAGGATAGAAAGTCACTAAACTCCTGAAGGAAAGGACTGTTTGGACCAGGTGGACGATAGACCACAGCACAGTAGAACAGGTCCTTACGCCCGACTTTTATCAGCTGCAGTTCAAAGGAAGCAAAGTGACCAGAGGTTGTAGAGCTACATGGAAGATGGTCTCTGAAAATAACAGCTAGGCCTCCACCACGACCAGAACCCCGGAGCTGGCTAAGAAAAGAATAACCACTCGGGCAGAGTTCAATCAGACCAGAATAATCAGATGTTTGCTGCCAAACTTCAGTCAGAAACAGAAAATCCAGGTTTTTAGAGAGAATTAAATCATTGAGCAGGAAGGACTTATTGTTAACAGAGCGGGAATTTAACAGAGCCATGCTGAGTTAGGTGGAGGAATCAGAAACTACAGAAACAGCTGGAGTTAGTGGACGTAAATTAGCGGGGTTAGATCCACGGTGTTTATAAAAACCATTTATGGAGGGAACAGGAGGAGAAACCACTGAGGAATGAGGATAAACCGACCTTAAAAAACTTGGCGGAAATGCGGAAATGGCGCTCAGGTCACCAAACAAAGGACAAGAAGCTAGAAGATTGCGCCTATGTTTACTAGATAAACCACGCTTTAAGAGAAGTATTATTCTCACCTGGATTCCTGCTCGTTTACCTCTTTTCCTCCAACATTTTCCCGGGACCGGACAAACATAGCCGGAGGCAAGGAGCTCAGGACCGTCGATTGGTTCCGGGCCAGTGCGCCACCACTCAGGTAAACAAACAGTATGTTACGTCCTCGGTGCATCTTGGGCGATCGTGAACGAACGGAAGGACAAAAGAGTCTGGCGATCATAGGAGATGGTAGCAGGGACACTACTGAAGAGGATCGCAGACAGGGGCAAGGTGGAAAAGAGGAGGTTAGTGGAGAAAAGTTTGAAAAAGTGGCCGGTGACTACGGCTAAGCCAAGCACAGGCACCATCTTGTTGCCAACCGGAAATGTAGCTGTAGTCCTAGCGTAGCAGTTATAGCATCTAGCATTTTCAGTTTGCTGATCGTTAATAAAAAGTGCAAGAAGAAGAAAAAGTAGAAGTTTGCAGAGCCTGGAAGTAAAAGTAAGAGAGTAATGTCATTTGAGGCGGAGCACAGAGCTATAACCAGAGTGAACATCTGCACAGCCTACACTAGCTTGAGGGAGCTAAAGGAGGGTATAATCACAGAATGATGATTTTGTTGCTACTAGACTTGTAAGTAATGATATTTTTGTCCAACAGTGTGGATCTTTTTACTTTGTGGTTTATTTTAGTATTAAATAGCTTATATTACTGTTAGCTTGTGGTAGTGCTAGCTAAAGCAGGCTAACAGTTGTTATTCCACTTTCAACCAGTAGGGCGGTGGAGCAGGAAACTGCTCTGTGTTACTTCAACATCTTGAAAATGTTCTTTTGACACATGATTGTATAAACCTTTAGATTGTCATTCATTTAGAAGTGCATGGTTGTTTACAATTATTAGGAGAATGTGGCAAGAATTTAACATTTTTACAAAAACAATTATGTAAAACAAAACTGGTGTGAGTGTAAAATAAAAAAAATTGCCTTTAGATGAAATTTGGGAGATTTGAGTTGTATTGAGATGGCAACAGTTTGCTTTCAGACCGTATTGACATCTTCACATGGAATTGCATCGAAATGGTGGAAGTACACTGTTTCTCCAAACAGAGGCTGTTCAGGAAGCTTTCTGAAGCCATTTGTCTTTGGAATGCTGCAGTGAAGTATTGTACAGGAAAATAAACATTTAGTAACCATTTTCATCTCCATTTATATTTTCATCAGCTTGGCAGTGACAGTTTGTCAGTGATGCATAACAACCGGCTAAAGTTTTGCAGGTTTTGATGTTGCTGAAACAAAATCCACTCATCTCTGTCACAGTTCGGTATGAATTTGGTTTTAACTCTGAGCAAACTGGACTGTGTGGTGTCTAATTGTGTTTTCTTCCATCAGAGATGAGATGATTGCAGCAGCATGGGAAATCTCTAAGCATGATCAGAGACAGGAACACCCTGATAGGCCTATTCTGATGGTCTACGTGCTGCTGGCCAGACTGACTACTCTGGACCTAAGCGAGACCTCCATTGAACTCCCACCCCTCCCTCCTCACCCATTTCAGGATCAAAGCTCAGCTGGATGCCTTGGGACTGAATGAGAATGATGCTGCCATCCACCCTTGACCACACCATAACCATGCTAACTCATATCATGGCATTTCCTGTAGATAGCCCAAGAATGCTACTGTTTGTCTTGTTTCTTTTATTCTCGGTCTCCGTGGAATGTCAAATAACACAATATGCAAGAGGAAATATTGGATTTCGCCATCACCAAAGTGTTTATTTGTTGGATTTATATGCAGAACTGGTGGTCTGCTGAACGTTGCCTGGAGATGGACCAAACAACTGGTCTGCGGTCGAAGTGAAGTGGTCCTTTTAAAAATCATATCAAGCTATATGGGCTTGGAGTTCAGCGTTTCACACACTTCTGTCTTTGTTTTCTGTGCACAATTGGATAAATGTGTCTGTTCAGCTAAGCTGTAGTCAGCCAAAACTGCCCAAATGGTTTCAATTGCGAGGCAAAATCCTTGCAAGACGAGTTACCTCATTGAAATAATATCTCCCACCCCCCTTGAATTCTTTAGACTGCCAATATATATCCGTATGCATCAAAATATCTGGCATGGATGCAGTTAAAACCTGTCTTTCTTATTTTTGCAGGACCATTAGGGCCCATCTCATGCAGATAATATGCTGAATATAATTCTTCTGTCTAAATGCAGGAGATATTTTTGGGTAAATACAAATCATTGGAGTTTCACTGCTGAATTTAATTAAGCAATGAGGCCAACAAGGTAAATTAGGATTGGAGCTGAGTCAGTCTTACAGAGGCCTCTTTATACCACTGTCAAAGTGAAAGGGGCCCAAGGTTAGCATGCATCACACATAGGAAAACACCCGGCAGCCCCCCAGACAGGGGACGAGACCAGAGCAGTCTGCCTCTGAATCCCTCTTTGCTCGCTGTTTATAAGGGCCATGCCGCCTCACCAGAACCACTTTCAAAGGGCTTTCCTCCACATTGTGAGGCCCCCCATTTCCTCTTCTTTCTCAGGAGGGAAATGTAAGTGTGTAGGAGTGGAAATGTTGCAGAGTTTAAGGGAAATGAATGGACGAATAAAGCAATGTTATTTGTGGAACTGAGAGGCCCATAGGCTTAAAATAAACTTACACAAAACGACTTACTGGAAACTGCACAGTCGTCTGTTGTTGATTATTGTCTCATTTTTCTGCAGGCACAGACTGTTAGAGAGCAGGATGGAGAAAGAATATGTAAACTTTTGTTCGATCAAGGTCACAGAGTGGCCAGATGCAAGGCTCTCTATCTACCCCTGGGATCGGTCTTCCTATTGGACATCCCGTCTCTGATGAATTGTCACTCTTCTCATTGAAGACCACAAAGAGGAAGCTGGCCACTGCCAGGACAAACCCACTTGACCTTGTTGGCCAATAGGATCGTTCCAGCTGTCCAGCATCCTTTGCACTCACAGAGCCACAGCTGCCTCAGGAGCTCTTCTTCTGGAATTTTGTGTGTGTGTGTGTGTGTGTGTGTGTGTGTGTGTGTGTGTGTGTGTGTGTGTGTGTGTGTGTGTGTGTGTGTGTGTGTGTGTGTGTGTGTGTGTGTGTGTGTGTGTGTGTGTGTGTGTGTGTGTGTGTGTGTGTGTGTGTGTGTGTGTGTGTGTGTGTGTGTGTGTGTGTCCTTCCTCTCCCTAATCTCTGACCACACACACTTGTTCACTTGTGACAGGCAGCCGCTGCCTCTTGGCTCAGGTCCAGTCCTCCCACTGGTCTTCTGCTCTGCTCGAGAAAACTGCACGTTGTGAGGAAAATGAACAGGAAAGTTGGGGGATACTTCAGGGTCAACTGTTTGAACAGAACCAGTGACCCCCACTCAGCAGAGTGACATAACATAAATATAACCGTGAGCTCACATGAAGTACATCACTCTCTTTTTGCAGATGTATGCATGCTTTACTATTTTACAGACAGCACAAACAGAACCACATCACTAAATACTTTCAACACTTGTTTACCAAGTATCTTACAGGCATTGTGCGTTTCGTTTGGCCTGCACAACATTTACGTAGAAGCAAGACGACAGTTGAAGCCAAAAATTAACCAAAACTCCCCCTAGTGTCTGTTTAAAGTACAAATTTTATGAATAACCAGCCCCTACATTGAAAGCTCTCATTCACTTGTTTTTTTTTTTCCCAATACATTTGCTCCGGTCTCTCGTATAAATGCTCTGTAAGTCATTTTCAATAGCAAACAGCTCTGGCGCTCCTGTTTCAGGAAGCAGAAATTAGCCAGGGAGAGTGGGGCAGAAAATGGAGGGATACTATTTGTGATATTTGGACATCTCCCTCTCATTGCAACAAGGAACATGACTCTTCCACTGTCTCCTTTTGTTCTGCAAGGCTGATGTTTTATCTCCACAATTAACACAAGCCTGAAGAAGTTCTGCCCTGTTGTGGAGTTGCTAATGCTAACGGTTAGCTTCTCTAAGCTGATATGCGCTCTGCTTTCTCCTGGCTGCAAAAATCAACACCCCTCCCGGACACCAGCCAAAGGAATGATTCCGGGAATGCAAATTCGAGTGACGTAAACCTGTGTGGCTTTATCTGACCTGAGCTTTTCCACTGCTGTTTTCCTTCTGTGGATAATGCACGAAATAGGGGTAGAAAACTATTTTCATGTTCAGCCTGCATGTTAAACTCAGAGGGGCCGATCATATTTCAGAAATAACAAGTAAAAACCGGTTTCTCAGTGAACTTGCTCTTTAAACAAATGGGACGTTTTCCTAACTAAAAAATGAAATAGTACAGCAACAAAAAGTGTCAGGAAACAGAGAATTCATGGCCATGTTTGTTAATGTTGAAGATCCATCTGTAGAGCTCCGGACGTCACGTGACTCTCAGAGAGTAGACGCCATGTTGGCAGGCAACAAAGGTAAACAAAATGAACGGGATCGGCTTGGATTTTACTCCGTCGGAGTTTACTTCACACTTTAAAACCGAAGAAATCCTTTTATATAGTCAGAAATTAAATAGACTAAACATCTCCGACCCTTACCGTGCCCCTGGGATACTTTGCTGTGCTGTTTGAATGTATAAACTGAACGCCAAGAGAAATCACTAGTTTGATTTTTTCCCGTGAATAAAATAAATATGTCAGGCAGGAGCGTCTCAGGATCTGTCTGAGATCTGTCTCGGTGAGACAGATAATAGCAATCCAAAGTGCTTTTTATGTGTGATCTGACAATTGATCAGCCGTTGCTTAAAAATGAAATGCAGCTTAGCCGGTTAATTGCTGTGATCATAAAACATGTAAACGGCAGCACGCAGAACTCACGAGGCAACGTTTTATGTGATGTTTACTTGTTGCTGAGTAATAAAACAGGAAAAGCCACGCCAAAATAAGTTTAGGAAGCCCACTAAGAATTGTAATAAAAGCATTTAAAATAAATACCATACACAGTTGAGGAAACATTGGTTTAAGTACCTGATATGAAGTGGTCGCTGCATATGCAAAAACCTTTACTCTCGGGGTCCCACAGCTTCATTTTTGCCCGGTCACTAGCGCGTTTTACTGCAATGATCCAACGTTTGCGGCGCTCCTGATCTTGGGGAATCCTGTAGATGGCTCATCCCTGATGTCGTCCGCGTCTGTTCTGGCATCCTGGGGCACAACAGGAATCTATCATATTTCCCGTTTGAGTTTTCTGACAATAACAAATAGTCCAGCTGCGGGCTTCTGCCTGCCAAGATGGCACCGTTTCGATTTGAACTGTTGCATGCCGGAAGAAGTCATGTCAACTCCCGGAGCTCTACTGACAGTGAAACGTTTTTAGTGTGGTTCCTTTTTGCAAAATAAACATGAATTTCTATTGTACACTTACATTTTACAGTCCGTCTTTAACACTTCAGAGTGATCAGAGTTGCTGAGGTTTGTCATTTCAGCTGCAATTTTGAAGTTGCAACATTATCTGTTAGAATATTCTTAACCACTCTTGTTCCCTTTTTAATGTAATACTTTTGGTTTTGAGGGTTTCCAGAATTGCAGAAGCTTCCGACCAGTGAGAATTTTTTTTAAATAAATCCCAAGATGACACTTTATTTATTTATTTATTTTTTTATTTATTGGATTATAAAACAAAACACTAAGTCAAACCTTTCATTGCTTTTGAGAATTTGTTTTTATTAGTGGCCAAACAATGATGCACCAAACTGTATATGAGATGATAGAAGGAGGCAAAGTTGATTATTTGCTACACAAGTCCTACTTCTCTTGTTCTGGAACTTCATAGAGCTTCTTCTGTTTACCCTTCCCTTTTCCCCTCCTTTGTCTGCTTTTTCTCCTGAGTTCATGGTAGAGAAATAGATAATGTTCTGGCAAAGGATGCAAGCTGTCAGACTTGCACACAAATGTAATGAAGTATTGTGGGGGAATTCAGCAAGCGACCCAGGCCCAAACTGAAGAATAGAAACCTCTTTTGTGCACGGGACCCAGACCAGGCCCGGATATTGCTATCTCTTCATTGTCTCCTCAAATGTTGGCATTTGTGTTTGAATGACGGCTTTCAGTTTAGCCAAAACATTCCAAAGACGCAGTGAGGGAAACACCCTCCGTTTCCTGCGCTCATTGAACGACTCTCCATTTGTTTCTGTAGCTTGCTTGGTAGTCGAGCGCAAATTAGCTGATTGCACCACAGTTTCCAATCAAAACTGAAGGATTCATGGTAGGAGTTAACTCGAGGCCTTGAGGAAGAAGGATTTATGCATCATGAAAATATAATTATGAGATGCCGGGTAAGGAAAACCACAGCAATTGTTGGAAACGGCTTGAAACGCTTGCGTCTCTAACCAGCATTGGTAGAGCTCTCCTGGAAAGCACCCTCTCTGCAGAGTGGTGGCGATAGGAGCACTTTGATGTGTGACACCTCTGATAGAAACATACCCTGCTGATAACACGCCCAGAATAGCATGTGAATGAGCCAGAGCATGCAGTGTTTTTGTTGCCTACTTTACATGTTAAGGAGATGGTGTTTGGTCTACTTCCACCAGGGTGGAATCATTTGATGTGAACGCCTACAGAATGCAACCATGTGACAGAAAGAAGCCCTTTTATCTGGCCTCCTGGCTGAGCAACACTAGCTATCACTCAGTTCTGGGAGGAGCATTCACCACTGTTCACACCACCACATTCCTGACATAGCATCTTCTTCTCTTCTGTCAGTAAACCCAAACAGCTAGCTTGACTCAGAGCACATGGGCAACCTGTAATCAAGCCTGGCTCTCAAACCAGCACGTTAAAGTAAATCTAGTGTGAGTAGACGCCTTCATGGAGTGACTTATTTTATTTCATACAGAAAATGCAGCCAGTGCAAACGTTTATGCATTATTTTATAAAGACTTTTCTAATTTTCTTGTAATTCTTGAAACTAGTTTTAATCGATAAGTTTCCAAACTTTCTGAAGGTTTCTTTGGACTTTGGAACTATTTTAGGTCAACATTTTTTATCTGTTTTTGTTTAAAGGTGTGGAACACTGAAAAACAAATTTCTAATTATAATCGGTCACTCTGAGTTTTTCATGCAGGCTGAACATGAAAATTGTCTCTTACACCTGTCTCCTGCATTCTGATAGAAAACAGGCGGTGAAACGCTAGGATTAGAGAAGGTGACAGATCTACGTCACACTCAGTGCTTATACAAATGCATCACAAAACGGAACGTCATTTTTCTTAAATGCATGTGAATGCGTTAGTCCTGCTGAAGGTGAACTGGTTCTAATAGTGCTGAAGAAGCCAGATAACGCTATAGAAAACTAAATGCATCTGCATGTAAACGCCTCCGTCGACTTGATGCCGGCAACTTCCGGAAGTGACAAGACCGTGGAGAAATCTTCTGATAATATCACTGCCTAAAAGTAACACGAGTAACGCCATCAAACAGTACGGTACGCACCAAATATGCTGTTCTGCAACGTTGTTGTGCATTCCTTTGACCGTTGTGCATATCTGCTTCACTCCCACCAGCGTTTGTTTACTATTTGTGTAGCTATAAGCTAACCGGAAGAATGCTGACACAAAAGGGTGCATGTTGCCACCTACTGTACAAGAATGGAATGAACTTCATTTGAGGGTTCAGCTTTCTAATGTACATATGTGACAGTGTGTGTCCTGTCACAGTGTCCCGATTGATCATGCGTCCTGGCTACTTGGCCAAGGGGATGTCCCTTTGGCTGACTGGTTAGAGCGTATGACTCTCACCCGGGAGTCTGGGGATCGAATCCCGCCCGGGCCCTCGTTTCTCCACCTTGCCACATTTGGCGTTGTTGACAGGATCCATGTAGTACTGTCAAGTAGGTCCATGGATGTGAAGTTTGTGGCACCCTGCGCGGGAGCACGAGGACGTGCTTGTGGAAAGAGGGGGGAAGATGTGACAGTGTGAGTGTCCTGTCACAGTGTCCCGATTGATCATGCGCCCTGGCTACTTGGCCAAGGGGATGTCCCTTTGGCTGACTGGTTAGAGCGTATGACTCTCACCTGGGAGTCTGGGGATCGAATCCCGCCTGGGCCCTCGTTTATCCACCTTGCCACACGTACAAACTAGGATAAAGGCTCCCACTTTGTAGATCAGCAATACTCAATAAGCGACCCGCGTTAATTCTGACGCACAACTCAAGTCCCACACTTGTTACATTTATGAGCAAAAAGTAAAGAGGGTGGGATGACAGTCAAACTCAGAACTTGTTGACCATCTGGCATCAAATACACAACGCTGCTTGCGATTGCATGCTTATAAGCGCATTTTGGAGGCCACAGTTTAAAAAAAAACTATTTTGTTTCCTTACATTGAACTAAATAAATACACTGACATTTCTTTCTTTGAGGCTTATTGTGTTCCAAGAATGAAATAACTAAAAATGAACTGCTCTCATGCTGTTTGCTAACTGCTTCATGTTTTAGGACATTTGTTTGGTCGTGTGATGAGCTCATTTCTTCTTCTGTGGTTGCCCAGTAAACATATTTTGATAGCAGTGCTCTTTTGCCCTCTAGTGGCACAAAATATATTACATCCAGAGCAGCAGAAGGACCATAAGCAGTTCATCTGCCAATCTGTTTTACCCCGTTACATTAACTGCAATTAACCTGTTAACCGGTTAACTATGTACATCCCTAGAATCTACTGAGAAAGCAAGATTAGGAGCAAAAACACAGTCACGTGACACTGACCCCTCCCCTTGAGTATCTTCCCTGAGACACATTGGCTGAACCACAGCCCTGCATTTCAACAATGTCGTCAATTTGGCGCAAAGCTGGCAGCTGGGAGCCTTTGGTCTTTTGTAAGTGGTCAGGCTGTGGAGGTTATGTGGCGCAATAATGTCCTTTTCATAAAAGAATATGTAATGGGTAAAAAGAGAGGTATGCGGACGACCTCTGCCCTGTCACAGACTTAAATTTAACTGATCATAGCTTACTGTCTGCATTTACTTTCATTTTCAATGTAGGGAGCCTAAGTCTTTCAGACCATGGGTCCCCGGAAGAACAAAAAAATGAATGCAAGTCAATAGGGCTAAAAACGCTATTTTCTAATTCCGCTTGTTATGTTCCATGGATTTCACATATGATGTCCGTGAATTTTAAAGAATCTTTTTGATACAAATCACGCTTATTTTCGAATAAGTCCAGGACTACAAATGCACTTCACGAAAGTGACGTCATCGATCCAGACACGAAAAAAACAGGGAAAATTGCTGTACGTTTAGCAAACTTAAAATCCTTCCTTCAGGAGGAAAGAACCACCATAAATATGACCATTTGGTAAGTAGCAGTTATGCTAGGGGAGAAGAGATTCTGTGGTGATGTCACATATGCGACGTGCTGATATCTAATTTGTAGTCATGCTAATTACGAACTTTTACAAGCTGATAAATCATAAAGTATGTGGGAGGTGTGGTCAAAACAGCCATCATTAGTTTTCATTTAAATTGGAGTACAACATATGTGCAATCCAGGGTCTAAAGCAAAGTGGATTAGAAAATAGCGTTTTTAGCCCCATTGACTTGATTTCATTTTTTCATTCTTCCGGAGACCCATGAGCCGACCGGAAATGGCGGAGACTTAAGGTTGGTGTGTGCTTGACGAGGTTCGCACGGCTCCGCGTGGCAAAATTGCGTCATTTTAACAACCAGGCGCCTCCACCTGGCCTCTGCATGGCCCAAACTTTCCACACCGCGCACCTAGGAAATTTTCTAACCACGCGGACAGTCTAACACGGAAAAACATGGCGGACTGGCAAGAACTAGTTATGGCAGAGTTAGTAAATACAGACATTTATATGATTCAGCTCTCAAAGATCACCGTGATCAACATGTTGTTAATAATTCTTGGAGAGAAATAGCTCGCACTGTCGGAAAAGACGAGGACGCTGTTAAAAAATGCTGGAAAAACATGAGGGACCGATATGTGAAGGCAAGGAAGGGGAACAAACGGAAAAGCGGTGATCCTGGTGGAAACAAGAACACTGCACCAATTCTAAAAGAGCTGAGTTGGCTCTCAACTTTCATTAACAACTGTTGTAAACAACAGTAATTTCTACTTCTACTATGGTATAGTGTTGGATGCATGCCGTAGAGCTCGATGCTGCCCCCTACAGTTTGGGAGAATATTGGCTCACTACCGAGACAAGTCGCATGAACCATAAATGCTGCAAGTTGTGGAGCTCGTTCCATCCGCGAGCCACATCACCAAGCATTAAGTAAATGCGTCAAGCATAAACCAAGCTTAAGGCTCTCTATGGAGCTTGGCAGTGACTCCCCACATGATCATGATACCACTCTCTGTTGCGTCAAGGCCTAATATGCATTCAGAAATCGTTTTATGTTCATGTTTTTGTATTTAGCAGACGCTTTTGTCCAAAGCGACTTACAAGTGATAATCGGCATGTTGCCCTTGAGGCTAACAACAACAATAACAACAACAACTTGACATCAATCATGGAGAGGAGAGAACAAGGAGTGGACAGTACAGAGGGGGAACGGGTGCAGGGAGGGTGCTAGTTTAGAAAATGCTTTCTGAAGAGCAGG